ATAGTGCTACTTAAATGGAGTAGAGCAAATAGAGTTTAATAAGTATGAAACACTGAGTTGGATCAGTCAGACAGAACAGTAGACAAGTGATAGATATGAAACACTTGATGTTGATGAAACACATCAAGTGATGGGATCAGTTGTATAGTACAGGGTCAACAACAAATAGTTAGGAAAGAGAAAGAAACCCCTCCTCAAAGCTGTAACAGATATAGCCTTTTTGCAAGTTCTCCTCGATAAAGGTGTCCAACTCCTTGAGTTTTACAGGGGATAACAGATAGACCTTTCCTTGTTAGGGTTTAAAGTTGGCTTCCAGATCAATTGCATGGTCCCAGGGTTTCTGTTCTGGTAGGTGTTTGGCTGTGCTTTTGTTGAACATGGAAAGGAAAGCATTTAGGTATTCTGGGATGTTACTAGCAAGGGTCTTGATTGCTCATAGAAGCTGATCCCAACAAAAGCACATCTTCCCAGTGATCCAGTCAATGACTGGGTTGAAACGTTGATGCGACCTTGGGAAACCTAACCCTAACTTGGGGGGTGTGAAGTAAAGGGTGAGTTTCTGTTTCTCGGGGAAGCTGATGGGGGTGAGGGCTTATAGTTGTGATAGCTCGCTTGAACAGCGATGACTTCACTATGTTTTCTCTCAGGACGGTGTCGCGAGACTGTTTTGGACTGTCTGAACACTCCAACTTCTCGTAGAAGCAGAGGGAAGGTAAGAGGGGAACTAGTTCGATGACTCGAATGCAAAGTGCGATTCAAGTGCAAACACACGAGTCTTGTTCGAAGGTCGGGTGCAAGAACGGAACTTTAAAGTACTTAGCTGTACGTGTAGGTATGCCTCAAAGGGGGTGTACTGGTAGGGAACAAGGTTTGAAGGTCGTGGGCGTAGTTTTGAAGGGCGTGGACGTAGTTTGGAGGATCGTAGTTGTAGTTCGTAAGGGGATGCAATGCTTCGAAAGAGTTCAAAGCTGGACTGAGCTCTGCTGAGTGAGGGATGTGATTCTGCGCAAGTCTCGCTACTAGGGGCCAAGTACTGCGTTACAACCATGCAAAACTGTTCTTAAATATCCCTCATCCTGCCGAACCTCCTGAGTCACCGCCTCCACTGCCCTGACCGTGCCGAATGATCCCGATATCCTTCCTACTCCCGCCCAACATCTTCATCAGTTTCTGATTCCCATCCACCACGCTATTCCTGCTAGTCTCGGAGGCCTGACCATTGCAAGTCTTGGCGTTGCAACCCGAGCGCATTGACTTAAAGGTTTACCCAACAGCCCTGTATTGTATGTCTCAATCTCTGGATGATGGGGTTTCGTCTTCGAAGTTGAGCCCCCGGAATAAAGCTGCCACCAAAAGATCCCGATTGGATCATTGTGAGATTGCAAAACTTCGAAGATGTTGAAGGGCAGGCTTTGCTCAAAGGCATTTTTGTGTCGAGGTATCACAGTTGTCCCCGAAGGCAGAAGCTTTGAGTGCTTCAAATGTTGAGTACAACTCGAGGCGAGCCCATGCGTTACGCAGGCCTATCAACATTTGAACCATGAAAGTCCTAGAATGATTGGATTCCTATCCAATACTGTGGTGTAGGCTTCTATCCTCATTAGTTGTCCAGATAAGGATATAGTGAAGAAGACTTTGTATTTGATGGCCACAGCTTTATTTGGTGATCCATTGACATTAAACACTGGTCTGGGTGTGATACTCTGGTGCTGGAGGTTGTGATCTCAAGTGAACTGAATGCCGATATAATTCTCCATTGCTCCTGTGTCGAGCAATGCCTCAGTGGTGACGGTTTTGGCATAGGTTTTTAATATGCAAGGCAAATAAATAGATTTATGAGCTAATCTCGCCTGATAGTAAATAGTTCTTAGTGCCAGTACTTCGATTCAATGTCACAGCAATCGAAGACTTCAAAAATCCTTCTCAGAGGATATAGCTTGAATGTATTCTTTGGCTATCCCTTCCTCATCAGAGGAATCCTTGGTCTCATCCTTCTCCTGAGTGGATGTGTCGTGTGATTCAATTGCTCTGATGCGATTATTCGGGCATTGACAGCTCTGGTGTCCAGGCTTGTGACATCTGAAACATAACTTCCTCTCCATATGCTCTTTGTGGTCTTTATCTGACAGGTGTCTGATTTGTTGATCGTTAGATGATGCTCCCTTTGATGATCTATCTCTGGTTTCAATTGCCCAATTGTGTCACAGTTTTTTGAATATGCTCCAAAAATAAGTGCGTGCCTATCTTATCTTATCAGATAGCAATTAGATATAGATTAGATGTATGCTGGAGTATCTACAGAATAGTAGAGAACCAGCTAGAAGGTTCTAGGATGCGGTTGTCAATCAGGTGACAGCTCACTAAGCAGTTCTACTCAGTGTCGCTTAGTGGTCAAGACCCATACATCACCTGATTTTTTAGTCAGACTCCAGTGATAGGCCCGCGTAGCGCATGGGCTTGCCTCGAGTCATACTCAACATTCAAAGCCCTCAAAGCTTCCGCCTTCGGGGATGACTGCGATACCTCGACACAAAAACACCTTCGAGCAAAGCCTGCCCTTCAACATCTTTGAAGTTTCGCAATCTCACGACGATCCGATCAGGATCTTTTGGTGGCAGCTTTATTCCGGGGGCTCGACTTCGAAGACAAAACCCCAACATCTGGAGATTGAGACATACGATACAGGGCCAACAGTCAAACCTTTAAGTCGATGCGCTCGGGTCACGACACCAAGACTCGCAACGGTCGGGCCTCCGAGACTAGCAGGAATAGCGCGTTGGATGGGAATTGGAAACTGATGGAGACGTCGGGCGGGAGTAGGAAGGATATTGGGATCATTTGGCACAGTCAGGGCAGTGGAGGCGGTGACTCAGGAGGTTTGGCAGGATGAGGGATATTTAAGAGCAGTTTTGCATGGTTGTAAGGCAGTACTCGGCCCCTAGTAGCGAGACTTGTTCAGAATCACATCCCCCACTCAGCAGAGCTCAGTCCGGCTTTGAACTTTCTTTTGAAGTGTTGCGTCTCCCTACGAACTACGACTACGACCCCCCGAACTACGTCTGCGACTTTCAAACTACGCCTACGACCTTCGACCTTCGTCTATGACCAGTACCCCCTTCGAAGCACACCTACATGTACAGCTAAGTACTCCGAAGTTCCGTTCTCATGCCTGACCTTCAAACGAGACTCATGTGTCCGTGCTCGAATCGCACTTTGCATTCGTGTCATTGAGCTAGCGCCCCTCTTACCTTCCCTCCACTTCTAAGAGAAGTCGGAGTGTTCGGACGGTCCAAAACAGTCTCATGACACCATCCTGAGAAAATCTAGTGAAGTCGTCGCCATTCAAGCGAGCTATCACAACTACAAGCCCTCACCCCCATCAGCTTCCCTGAGAAACAGGAACTCATCCTTTACTTCACACCCCCAAGTTAGGGTTAGGTTTCCTGAGGTCGCATCA